AAAAAAAAAAAAAAAAAAAACGGAGCAGGCAGTCGCCCAGAGTCGTTCTCGCGGTGTCCTTGGACATCGCGAACGCATTCAACACCTTGCCCTGGAGTTGCCTCGTCGAGGCCCTCCACTATCATCGGCAACCGAATTACCTGATCCGCATCGTGGCCGATTACCTGTCCGAGAGAACGGTGTCGTTCAGGGGTCGTAACGGGTGGTGCTTGTGGTCACTTGTGGGGTACCGCAGGGCTCGGTCCTCGGGCCCCTTCTTTGGAACGTGGGGTATGACTGGGTCCTTCGGGGCTCTCTCATACGTGGCGTTGACGTGACGTGCTACGCCGACGACACGCTAGTGACGGCGAGTGGGGCCACACACCGGGATTGCGCGATCGTCGCGACGGCGGGAGTAGCCCAGGTCGTGGGAAGGATTCGGGCCATAGGGCTAGGGCCCGCGATCTTTCGTTGCCGACTGTAGTTCGGAGGATGACGGAGTCGGACAGAGCCTGGAGGGCCCTCCAAACCTTTTGCGAGGAGGTCATCTCGCAGAAAGAGGATGCGGAGAAGCTGAGGGAGGCGTCTAGCCTGGACCCTAATAGAAGCAGCCGCCGCAGAGGGGAGAGGAGGAGGGCTTTATCCCGACTCATCCCTCCTTAACAGTACTAGAGTGGCGGACTAAGGGGAAGTCCGTCACTCAGAAAGTGTAGCGAGGACGCACCGGTTTCACGTGCAATGAGAGGAAGTAGTGGTTGATGAGGCGTCGTGGCCAGTCACCATCGAGCCGCGTGATGAGTACGCATAGTGTGCCCGCGTCCCGGTGCTCGGTGAGACTAGGGAAACAGTGGGGTTTTAGTCGGTAGGCTTCCGGCTCCCCTCTTAGGGCGCGGTGGTATGCGTAACGCATTTCCCCACTATAAAAAAAAAAAAAAAAAACTTTTAATATTATTCAATATTAGCTCATGGACGTGGAAATTTCCAATGACCACCGCTGTTCTCTAGGGGGCAAAGTGGAAACCGCTCGGTGGTGCAGCTAAATTTTCTCAATCAGCAGGTCTATTATGCATTCCGTTTCTTTGGTAGACAAGGAGTTTGTGTTTTATCAAACAGGTGGCATACTGGCCACTAAGACCTTTGCCTTTTTAGTTATGAAAAAAAAAAAAAATAAGGGGGACAATTGAAATGAGTTAACAGCGATTTCGTGATTCCATTTGTTGTCGCGAATAGAGTTCAATAAAATGATATTGTAAGTAATATATATATATTAACTTCTGTTTTCTATGAAAACAGTGCAAAAGATCATATCAAATTTTTCAGTTTAGATTAAAGCAAAATTAAACATACTTTATTTTTAATGTTTTTAATTTAACAACAGGAGAAAATTATTACAATTTTGGTTGTCTTTGTTAACAAATAATTTTTATTTACAGTATCTGTCTCCTTGAACAGATGGTCTCATTGTAACAAATTATAGTTTTTATTATAAATGGCTAAAGATTGAAACATTTCTTATTTAAAAAAAAAAAAAAAAAAAAATGGCGATTCTACACAAAGTTAAACTTTACATCTTAAAGTGACTTGTAAACGAAGAAAATCTTGTGTTTATTTAAATATTTTTAAAGTAACATTAATTAGTGATGACCAAATAAAAAAAAATAAAAAAAAATGTTCTAAATTAAAGCAATTTCATTATTTATTTACATAGTTATCTTTCACTCAACTAAACTTATCATTAGACTATGTAGACAATGTTGTCATAAATAAATTGTTCGTGAACGTCGTGTTTTGCGTGGACAGAGGCACGCGTGCCGCGGTCCAATCGCGCGGCGCCCGGCCTCTGCCTCTCCGGGTTACAGCGTCAATGTCCGGGCTTCGGGTTCGGCATCATCGCCCTTCGAGTGAACAACGTGTGGTATGAAACAAGTAGCTGCTTATCGTGTTTGATTTCCGTGGTTTGCTAAAGATCAAAATTGGACATCATTTTTATTTTCATCGTGTAGATGCTGGCCTATTCATGATCAAATCAACAACAAGGGGTTATCGATGACAGGTGAACGCAGCGGGCGCTGAGGTAGCAAACGCGGGGGATCAGCGCTTGTCGCGGCGGGCGTGGGGGGTGCGGGGAGTGCGGCGCAGGCGGTGTCGGGCGGCCCACAGCGCGCCCGCTGCGGCCGCCAGCAGTAGCGCCGCGGCCGCAGCGCCCGCCGCCACGCCGCGCAACCGTGCGTACTGCGGGACTCGCAGCTCCGCGCCGCCGCGCGCGCCGCTCGCGCACCACACGCGCGCCACATACTCCGCGCCCTCTTCCACTTCACTCACTATAACATTCAAGTACAATATTGTATTATATATTTTGTTGCTTAGGAGCGCGTGAGCCCACATCGTGAGGAGGGGCTCGTATAATAATTATGTGTTTTTTACTTAGCCACCTCTCCT